TTTCTTTTTTCCTTTTCTTTTCAGACAGAATTTTGCTCTTGTTGCCCAGGCTGGAGTGCAAGGGCATGATCTCGGCTCACAACAACCTCTGCCTTCCGGGTTCAAGCGATTATCCTGCCTCAGCCTCCCGAGAGGCTGGGATTATAGGCATGCACTACCACACCCAGCTAATTTTGTATTTTTAGTAGAGACGGTTTCTCCATGTCGGTCAGGCTGGTTTCAAATTCTCAGCCTCAGGTGATTCACCCGCCTCAACCTCCCAAAGCGCTGGGATTATAGGCTTGAGCCACCATGCCTGGCCCAGGACAACTATTTTTAACGTTTACAAAAACTGGATTACATCCAGGTGTGGTGGCTCACGCCTGTAATCCCAGCACTTTGGGGAGGCCAAGGCAGGCAGGTCACGAGGTCAGGAGATCGAGACCATCCTGGCCAACATGGTGAAACCTCGTCTCTCCTAAAATACAAAAAATTAGCCGGGCATGGTGGCCCAAGCCTGTAGTCCCAGCTACTCGGGAGGCTAAGGCAGGGGAATCGCTTGAACCCGGGAGGCAGAGGTTGCAGTGAGCCAAGATTGCATTACTGCACTCCAGCTTGGTGATAGAGCAAGACTACATCTCAAAAATATATATACATATATTCCCCACACCTTAAAAAATAATTCTTGAAATTTTTCAATTAACTCTATAATACCTCAGCAATAACTCATTTTATCTTCAAAAAAAGAGAGAAAGGAAAAGAGAAAATGACTTAAATTATTTATTTTACCATTTAACCATCACTTCCTTTTCAAACCACTGCTATCAAAACTAAATAGTTTCCTCCTTCTTACTAAATTGTTAATCATTGTTAGTCTTCCCTTTACTTAAACTCTGCAGGATTTGTTGTTCGTTGTTTTTAAAACTCACAGTCACTATCGTTGACTTTTTTCAATACTCCTGAATTTATTGTCTCTTCTATTACTCGAATTTTCCATTTCTTTTGAATTTTTTGTCTCTTGACACCCTTGATGCCTCTGTCCCAGATTCCTGCTTCCGCCCACTCTCTGCTATTTATCCCTGGTAGCTCCTTCCAGAATCTTTCCTTCTACTTGCTCCTCAGCTGTTGATATTCTCTCAGATTCTCTCTTTTACGCTCTCCTGTTCATTCACCTTTCCATTTCACATTCCCTCCCTCAGTGGTCTCACTCACTGCCATACATTTTAGTTACTATCCATTTATTTTACTTAATGACTTAGGTACCTCACTTACTTTATTTATTTAATTACTATGCCAATAATTCCCACGTGTATGTAGCCCAACCCACATGTGCATATACAGGTATGTTTGGACAGCTCCAAATGCATGTCCCTCCTTCTACAGGCCCCTTAAACTCAAACTGAATTCATCACCTTTTCCTGTCTTCTGCAGTTTCTGTCTCAGTGAGCAGCGGCACCATCTACATTACATCAGACAGAACCTAGTCAACCAACCACCAAGTGCCTTTTCCTTGCCTCCTCACATGTAACCAGTCACTAATTATCTAAACTCCATCCCCTCGACATTTTTCACCTCTGATTCTTTTTCCTCATTTTTACCATGCTGCCTCAGTTCATGCTCCCATCGCCTTGACATCGTTCATCTCTGATTCTTTTTCCTCATTTTTACCATGCTGCCTCAGTTCATGCTCCCATCGCCTTGACATCGTTCACCTCTGATTCTTTTTCCTCATTTTTACCATGCTGCCTCAGTTCATGCTCCCATCGCCTTGACATCGTTCACCTCTGATTCTTTTTCCTCATTTTTACCATGCTGCCTCAGTTCATGCTCCCATCGCCTTGACATCGTTCACCTCTGATTCTTTTTCCTCATTTTTACCATGCTGCCTCAGTTCATGCTCCCATCGCCTTGACATCGTTCATCTCTGATTCTTTTTCCTCATTTTTACCATGCTGCGTCAGTTCATGTTCTTCTACTCTTGCCCTAGACTAGTGAAAAAATTCTGTATCAGCTCATCCAGTTTCACACAACTTCAACCTGTCCTTTCCATTGCAGCCTAGATGGTCTTCCCAAAATGCAAAATGCTGTTTTTCCCTATCTAAATCCTGCATTGACCCTCATTTCAACTACTGAATAGAATTAAAACACACCAGTGTGTCCTAAAAGGCCTCTTTAACTTGCAGGCTTACCCCTTGCCAAGTTTCCCTCCTACAACTCTACACCTAAGCTACACATATTGCTTATAGTTCTGTAAAAATACAAAGCTACTGAAAACCCTCATAACTTTCCCTTCATGTGTCTCTCTGAACGTAGTGCTCCCAGCCTCTCAAACACTTTCACTCCTGATGCCTTATTATGTGGAATATGTTAAAATTAACTCAACTCCACATCACTCCTTCTGTTAAGTCTTTCCTGAGCTCCTCTATTTAATTAGGTAGATATAAGCAAGCTCTCAGCTATACCACACATGCTGCTGCCATAACACTTTATTATACTTTACCTTAGTTGAGAATTGCATTAGACTTTCAATTTCCTTATGAACAGGGACCATATCACATTGGACATTAATCCTCAGTACTAGGATAACTTGACCCCACATATAAGTTTGTGAAAAATGCATGAGGGTGTTGTCTTTCATTTTTACTAGCTTAATTGTTTGGCATTTTTAAACACAAACATAGTTGTTATGTCAATTGTTATTGACAAAATAAAAATTTAGAAATTAAATGAATGTGTGTGCTTTATTTTTATTAATTCTACAAAATAAAAGTTGCCAGCTCTGAATGGTGTCACAGCATGATGCTGAATCTGAATCTTCCAAATTGCCGAAAAATTCTGACTGATTTCTGCTCTGTTATTTTTATCAGCAAAGGTATATCAGATATGTTTATCTAAGAAATAATTATACTTCTATGATGACATTCCTCTAAATGTTTGCCTTACCAATAGATGAAAACAAGATATCATATATGTAGGGTAAGATAACCATTTCCAGATTTTTCCCTCCAAGACAATTCTTTCCATTTCTTATAAAGAGGCCCCCAGATGTTGCAGCTAGTGTTTTATCTTGCTCCACCTCCCTCTCCACCCTTCAAGCTCAGCAGAACTTATTTTTACATGCTGTTCTTGATTATGTTGATCACTAGTCCTAGAGAGAGCTCCTGGCTCCAGTCAAAGGAGGAAAATGAAGTTATAGACAAGAAACTCAAAACCACAGCCCTAAAAATGGACTCTTCATAACATTTTTTGGAGGAAAACACTTTGTATCCATATATATATATATATATACACACATACACACACACACATAAACATATACACACACACACACACACACACATATATATATATCTCCATATCCTGTAGCTACAGAAACTGACATCCCTACTTTTGTCACTTAGCTTCGTGTCAAAGAGGTTGGAAATTCCCAGTGTCCCCTAACAGCTTACTGGATAGTTTAGTTAAAAAAAAAAAAAAAAAAAAAGCCACATCAGTGGATTTCAGGTGGAGGATCATTTAATAAATAGAAAGTGAATACAGAGTTTAGTAGGAGAAAGGAACAAAAATCAAAAGTTATCTGATAAAAAAAATAAGGAAGAGAAGTTTTGGAAAAAAAAAAAAGGTATATCCAGATTTACAAAGGTGAAGAAAATGATGATATAGTCAGAAGAGAAAGGACATATTAAAATACAGGCACTGAATAAATGTCTGTTCAATCTGATACAGACTGACAGAAAACTGCTGAAAGGAACACTTTAGGAATTCTCAAGAAATGGAATGTTGAAAGGAATCCTACATTTCTGGAGTGTCTGTAATATATCAAGTATTTCACATAATTCATCATTCTCAGTACTCAGGACCACTTTGTAAAGGAAGTTCTATTACTTCTAATTAATATTAATTAAAGTTAATATAAACTAACATACCTAAAGAATTTAAAACACTGACAGCACATAATGAGTCCTGTATACATATTTGTGGCCATTAATATTTTATAAATAAGGAATATGATGCCACCAGGATACATAAATAACGCCTCCAAAGTTACACGGAAGGTAAGTGGTGTACCTAGGTTAGGACCTAGAATCTAGTCATGCCATGTGAGTCCTTTTCACTAGAACTTAAGTCATATTTTAGCTTTAGATTGGTGAGTGGCCCAGGAAATAAAATCCTTCTCTAAGTGTGTGAATTATGGAACTGAATAGAACTGAAAAAAAAAAAAAAATCACTACTATGTCATAGGGTGCGTAATTGGAAATAAAATTATAAGATGGAAGCTAAATATAACTAACATTAAATATTTTCATAATTTGATTCAATCTTATCCACAGTATTCTGAAATCAATACAGTAAAAGGGGATAGGGACAGGACATAATGGAATTTGATGCCATTATTTAAATTATTGAATCACAGATGTTCAGAGGTAAAGGAACCTTAGAAAGCATTTGCTTTAATCATCCTTCATTTCACATATGATAAAACCAAACATCTGATGTTGACATGGCTCTCTTAAGGGCTCACAATTTCAAGAGGCAAAATTACTGCAATGGAAAACTAGGGTTAATTTGTACACTTGAAAATCCCCCTCTAAAGCCATGACTTCAAAACTAGCAAAAAGGTGGTTTTTATAAATCTAAATTTCCAGATCAGATGGTAAACAAAACAATATTTGACTTGTTTTAGGGAAGGTGGGAAAGAGAAAGGATGTAGTTTTCATCATACATAAAATTTCACTTTTGTATGCTATGCCTGCATGGAAAAAACAACACGTGCTCAGCTGCAAACCACTACGCTAGCAATAGAATTTCAGAAAAACAAACATCTGTATGCAGATTGAGTTGAAATTTCCAGATATTCACATATGTGGCATTAAGTTGTGGAAAGTGCACAGCTGCACATCACTGTAAATCACAATGACGTTTCTTCTCTTTTCTCTATTTTGTACATTTCTAGGAAGGATAGCTCATCTCACACATTTTGCAAGGGCTCTGGTCTATTCGGACCCGAGGAGGCAGAGTACCTGTGCACCGGGGCTCCGGCCGCCGGGTTGTGGCAGAGACTTGAGAATACAGGCTCATGGTGGTGTCCTCATCATCATCCAGCATGTCCCTCGTGCTGCTGTACTTGGCCTGCATCTGGATTCCCGCAGCGGTGAGAGTGAAATATGGTCGGATTGCCCCAGGCCCCCTGGCTACTGTGAGCTAGTTCAGGAAGCAAGGCACTGAAAGGCATTCCTAATGTTCTTTCCGGGCAAGTAGCAGGGGAAGTCTCTGACTGCAGTTCCTGACTGGAGAGGCCCAGCCCCTCTCCGGTGAGCTTGTACTCTGAATGCCAAATCAGTCAGGCTGAAGGGAAACAGCATGTGTTTTCTGTTTAGGCAGTCTCTGTCTCACCAGTTATCAAAAAGTTGGCCTTTCTCAGTCTCTTTTATTTACCTGTTTGCACCTCTCATGGAACTACAGCATAAAGAAGGCAAGTTCTTAGAATAGCACGGTGATTTCTTCAGAGTTGGCAGAATAATAATGTGTTGGGAGGACACACATTCCTGTTTCCTACCCATCCTTTAAGGAGTCGCTTAAGTTAACTTCTGTGCCTTTGTGAAAAGAGAAGAGCTTATAAGACCTAGCCCCTTCCTTTCTGCAAGAACAGAGTAGTGATCTCTCTTACAGTATCTGAACTTGATTTTACATTTTATAGCACATTTGGTACATTATGATCACGAGGAATTATACGTTTTACTGGAAGTCAAAACTTTTTAAACTATTACTAACCACCATGTGATCTGGGGAAGCCAATTAGTTTGGAGGACAGCCAATTAGACTGGAGGACAGGGCATATCACTGGATCCTCTGGATCCTTAGCAGGCATCCCCAGCAATAGTCTGGAGCCGCTGAGTGGCTAGACCCAGAGGAGCAGCACTCAGAGTGGTCTAACTCTCAGGAACTCCTACTCCTAGGGGAAGGGAGAGTGCACCACGTCGTGCCTAAATTTCCTAAACTGAGAAGAAAATGTTTTAGGTTATGTGAAAAAATTCTTCCTGAATCAGTACATTAGAATTACATTCCCTGTCTTAGTCTGTTTGTGCTGATCTACAACAGAATGCCTGATGACCTACAACAGAATACCTGAGACCAGATAAATTACAAGCAATAGAAATTTATTTCTCAGCATCCCAGAAGCTGGGAAATCTGAGATCAAGGCACTGGCAGGTTTGGATGTCAGGTGAGAGCTGCACTCTCTGTAGAGGAGGAAGGCTATTCTCACACGGCAGAAAACAGGTCGAGCCAGCCAAATGCTACATATAGCTTCTTTAATAAAGGCCTTAATACCATCCACAAGAGAGAAGCCTTCAAGGCCTAATCACCTCTTAAAGGCCCCACCTCTCTCTTAATACTACCACATTGGCAACACCTGAATTCTCCAGGGAACACATTCAAACCATAGTAAGATAGTTACCAGTAACAACCTTGCGGTTTTGGGAAGACAATAATTTGTGCCTATAATTCCTAAACTAAAAGACAAATGAGAAGATCGCTTTAGATAATGTCTAAAATTTATTCCTGAATCTGTACAATAGAATTATATCACTCTACCAAAACTTTTCCAGATTTTCAATGCTAGATGGGCAAAATCAAGCATAACTGTAAAGGAGTGCCAGAATGCTTCAGGTGGGGCAGCCAGACTCTATAAAAAATTTACGAAGAAGTAAACATTGTAGATTCACCTGTGTTGCAAGCTGTGTTGTTCATCAAATTATTCTTTTTTTTTTTTTAACTGGTGCTTTTTTTTTTTTTTTTTTTTTTTTTTTTTTTTAAGATGGCAGATTGAAGGCAGTCTTAGCATGACTTTCCCACTTGGAAGGACAAAATAGTGTGTAAAATTCTCACTATAAACTTTTTTCCAAGAAGCAATGCAGGAAGTGAACAGCAAAACTGAAAGAATCCACAGACTCTTTGAAAGAAGCAGCAGGGCTGCAGCCTACACTGTGAGCCAAGTGAAAAACTGTAAGCCCCCGGAGTGTGAGAGGTAAAGAGACTGGCTCCAGGATACATACTCCCACTGGGGAACCTGAAAGTCCAGGCCATGGGGAAGGCCTTAATCCTTCGCAGCACTGGAACCCATTTAAGGAGCAGTGAGAAATATAAATGTAAGAGCAGCAGCAGGAAGAGGCTTGTGTGCATTCCCAGTCTCCAGCATGAACCAAGGGAAGCTATTCCTTAGTATACCTCACAGAAAACCTCATGGAACTCAGCCAACTAGCTCAGGCGAGGGCTGTACCTTGAAAAAAGCTCCGAACTAAAATTCACAATATAACCTCAAGTGAAGGTGAACTCCCCTGGTCAGACCAGAAAGGTGAGTGGAAAGTGTGCTGCAGCATGAGTGCAGGATCCGGGTGCGAGCCTTGCAGGTGGACAGAGAGGGGCATGGCCTGAAAGCCAGCAGTTGCTGTCACCACAAAGGCTTATGGCCTCAGGCAGCTGTGAGCTCTGAGTGCAGGCTGCTTGGAACATAGCTCACTGCTGCCAGCAGAGTACTGCAGGAGCCTGATCTGCCTTGCCAACTGTGTGGAATCTGGGTTGGGCTCACTGCTGCATGCTACTCCCTGTGCAAACTCTTCTGTGCAGCAGAGGCAACAATGCTCCCCTATGGAACATTATCCCAGTGGCCAGAGAGCCAACTCCATCTCCAACAGGGGCCACTGCTCGCCATGCACATGGTGACTCAGATTGCAGACCCACCTAACACAGCCCTCATCTGGCTTTGCCCCTCCAATCATCATGGTAGCTTAATACAAAGCGTAGAAACCCTAGGGAGGTTTATAGCCCCATCCATCACCTGAAAGCCAGACTACTGACCGTGGGCAACATAAGGCAAGCACAAATTACACTGCTACTACCACATCTGGTACTCTTTTGCAAATGCCACCCTATAGCTGGAAGCCAGCCAACACAGTCCATTACAGCATCTCCAGGTGGAATAACACTGCACTCAGAAAAGAGAAAAGTACTGTGTGACCTCAGCTATTACCACTGCCTGCACCACCCTGTCTAACCAGGACATCCTGAGACTGCGCACATGACTAGTTCATTACTACTTTAACTGGCATTCAAGAAAGACAGCACACTATAGTTATCTATAATTGAGAATCTCACAGAGTCTATGTCACTCCTCTGGCACCCACATCAGAGCTGGTAGTGATAACTGCTGCTGGGAGACTGGAGAACAGGTCATATCATTGGATCCTTAGCAGACATCCCCCAGCAATAGAATGGAGCCACTGAGTGGCTGGATCCAGAGGAGCAGCAGTACCCATAGTAGTCTGTCTCTCAGGTACTCCCACTCCTAGGGGGAGGGAGAGTGCACCACATAAAGGGAACATTCTGTGTGACAAAAGAATCCAGATGGCAGGTCTTGAGGATCAGATTGTTCCACTGGTAGGAAGTTTCTTTCAATAAAGGCAGAATTGCAGGGCTGGGCTCAGCATGGAATGACTACAGCTGTACCCCAACAGTCAGACAGCCCTGATGCTTACCAAGGATCTTGGAGAAGGGGACTTTCTACCTACCTCATCCTCCACTGCACACACAGCTGAGTCTTCTCCCACAAGAGCTCAACATGGGTGCACCCATAGACAGACTTTCTAGTACACTTCAGGGTGACTGCATCCCCACAGGAGAAGCACCATCCAGTTTCAGGCTTACATGAGAGGCAGAGTCACAATTCTTCTCTACATGGAACATTACATTCTGACAGATGAAAAGAGAGGCCTGTGGATAGCTTCCCTGCTGATCTGACAGAAGAGCTAAGGTAGCTACTGCCCTGATAAGACTTCAGTGTGTCTCACTGACAGCTCCCCAGCCCCCTCTGTCAAGGCTGGGACCTCTGCCCATCATTGGATATTGCATTTACCCACTTGCTTTAGTCACAATAGGTTCCTATTTAGGAACACCCCTCCTACTGGCCTGAAGCCTGAACCATCAACCCAGTGAATCAAATACTAGGGAAAAGTAAATAAATTAAAAAGTGCATACCACATTGGAACGAGATAAGCTTCCAGAGACAGTAAGTTTTCTTGCACACCAAGCACATTATTACTATGACTAGCATCTGAGAAAGCCATCCTACCAAGTCTCTCTATAACCAAGGAAATCATACAGAGTTTTCACCTGAAAGCACCAAAAACCAAATTAGGCTATAATAAACTATAAACATTAAATTCAAATCCTTAAGAAGGAAAAGAATTTTTTTTTAAATCACACAATCAAATCAAAAATAAATTTAAGAAAAATTAGAGGAAATAGTCTACCCAAGTAAGAAAGAACCAGGAAACTAATTCTGTTAAAATGATAAATGGGGTTCTGTAACACCTCCCAAAAGATCACATTAGCTCTCTAGCAATGAAGCCAAACCAAGATAAAATATTAGAAATACCAAATGAAAAATTCAGATTAAAAGTTACTCAAGGAGATACTGGAGAAAGGTGAAAACCAACATAAAGAAATTTTTAAAAATTCAGATTATAAATGAAACATTTTCTAGAGAGCTAGATATCATTAAAGAAAGAACTTCTGGAAATGAAAGGCACATTTAGGGAATTACAAAATGCAGTGAAAAGTTTTAACAATAGACTAGAAGAAGTAGAAGAAGGAATTTCAGAATTCAAAGACAAGGCTTTCAAATTAACCCAATTAGACAAAAATGAAGAAAAAAGAATCAAATGAACAAACTCTCCAAGAAATATGGTAGTATGTAAAATAGCCAAACCTAAGAATAATTGGTGTTTCTGAGGGAGAAAACAAAAAGTTTAGAAAACTTATTTGAAGAAATAATTGAGGAAAACTTCCCTGGCCTTGCTGGAGATTTAGATATCCAAATCCAAGAAGCTCAAAGAACTCCTGAGAAACTCACTGCAAAAAGATCACCACCAAGGCATAGTCATCAGGCCATCTAAAAATCAGCATGTAGAAAAGAAATCTAAGAGCATAAAGGGAAACCTGTAAGTCTAACAGCAGACTCTCAACAGAAACTTTATAAGCCAAAAGGAATTGGGATTCTATCTTTAGCCACCTTAAACAGAATAACTGTCAGCCAAGAATGTTGTATCCAGCAAAACTAAGTTTCATAAATGAAAGACAGATAAAGTCATTTTCAGAAAAACAAATGTGAGGGAATTTGTAGTGCTACCAAACCAGCACTACAAGAAATGTGAAAAGGAGTTCTAAGTCTTGAAACAAAAGCTCAATAGGCACCAAAACAGAACCTCTTGAAAGCATAAAA